CTTCTTTTTCTTGTGTTCAGATCTAACATCTTTGTCCAATCAAAGAACACCAAACTGCTTGTGACGTCTAACTGTCAATTAAACATTACTCTGGGCTGTCGTTAGAGGGAGTAAATCGACGTACTGTACTGTACTGGACAGGAAAAATAATTATTAAAAATGATATATATATATAATTAAAATCCACTCATTAAAATTTTCTATATATATATAGAAAATTTTAATGAGTGGATTTTAATTATATATATATATCATTTTTAATAATTATTTTTCCTGTCCAGTACAGTACAGTACGTCGATTTACTCCCTCTAACGACAGCCCAGAGTAATGTTTAATTGACAGTTAGACGTCACAAGCAGTTTGGTGTTCTTTGATTGGACAAAGATGTTAGATCTGAACACAAGAAAAAGAAGCTGAATGGTCCTGCATTGCGTAGCGAGTAACTGATCGGTATGGAAGTCGTTTTCATTCTCCTGGAGTAAGGTAAGATTTATTCGTCTTTATAAATGCTGAATTACTTCTACGTTTGTTATATTCCGTCAGAAATCTGAATATTGACAGTTAGAATTAAAACCGGCCTCATAGCGTCTATAGAAATATGATGCAGACATTGTTTATAATTTGATACTTCACCGGCATTTTGTGTGTAAGATATACCTCGCTTGTTATAATTCTTTAATAGAATAGTTTTTCATTAAATTCTGTAAGTAAAACTATAACGATAACAATAAAAACTATTTACTTTGCTCTTCACATTCACGCTTGCATGAATAAGTGTTTTTATAATGCATAAGGTATGACAGCTTGCAAATGATTGTTGATGTTGTGATGTGAAACTTTTATTTTTATATTTTAATTGCTTTAAAAACAATAGAATATTTTTCTTATTACCTTGAATATTTATGATCTACAGTTACATTTTAAGCTATGACTTAATTAGTTAAAGATATATGTGATGATGTGATGGATATCTTTAAAGATGATCGCATGAAGTAATTTATCAAAAAGAAAAAAAAAAGTTCTTCAGTTATTATTAGAGTAGATAGAATTTTAATGAATTAATTTTTTTTTACTTGCCATTTCTGTAGTCAAAGTTGTTTTTGCAATTGGTGATTAAATGTTGCAGTTGGTTTTGAATAAATACCTTTTTTAATAATTATATATTGTTTTACTCTCTTACACATGATGAAGTGGTATTATAGGGCAATAGTCTATTGATATATCCACTTTAGTAATTGCCAAGACGCATTTTGGGTATAAACCCCTCTTCTGTTGACTCAATGAACGTTCTTTTCTCCTTTTAAAATCTCATTAAAATTAATCTTTCCAATCTCCTTTATAAGCAGAAAATTATATATTGTTTTAGTATATGATAAATATATATATATTTGATGCTAATTAAATTTAGAAATATTGAGAATAATAATAAACTTGTTCTCTTTTTTGATTAAAAAAAAATTGTACTAAAATCTGATATTTTATAAGTTCTAACTCTTTAACTGTTGTCTTGCTTTGTTCAATACTTCCCCCAATACAAAAGTGATAAAATCTAATTATGTTGAATTAAAAATTTTGCAACTTCTATTTATTTTTTTCTCTTTGTTTAGGATTGAAGTTTTTTTGAGGAAAATTTGATAAAACATGGGTCAATAACTGGGAATGGTTTGACATAGTTTTTGAAATTGACTTCTTGACTTTTTAATCAAGTCATTATTAAAAATAAATACAAGTTTACTAAAACTGAAAAATTTTGAAAAATTTCATAAATTTATTAATATTGAATTTATAAATATTGTAGTACAAATATTTTTGATAGAATAACGAAATATTGATTAACAAATGAAAGTTTTTCATTTTTATACTTTTGTATGTTTAAAAAGTTGTTAAATTTAAAAACATGTTACCATACATTTAAATTTTAAATTACATGATCAAACAGTTCAGTCTAAGTTGGAAGGAAATTTTTATTATTTTAAACATTTTAAGAGAGAAAAATTTTGCTAGAAAATAATTCTTATCCAGTAATATGTAAATATCTATTGTATATATTTCTTCTTATCAGTTGACTGATGAGGGGCTATATGCCCGAAACGTGTAAAAGTACCCGTATCAACTGAATAAAGAGGAAAAACGCCAAGTGTTTTAATAATAACACAGTCTTGTGTTCAATAGTTAATAAATACGAAAACACGGTTTAAAAAAACGAATCAACTAAATGTAAATATCAGTCATAATGAATTTTTTTTGTTGTTTTTGAAGAAAGTGGATTTCCATTTTCAAATTTATAAAATTTTGTTCAAACAAATAAAAAAGGAGATTCAAACTGTTTGTGAAGGAAGCCAAAAATAAGGATATGTTAGGAATGTTTTCAGTCTACTGTAAGGCCAAGCAGCAGGTTGAAAATGTTCTTAATTCCTACTTTTAGCTTCCTTAACCAGTTGTGTTCCTTGTAACTAAATAAAGTTTGATTCTTGAACAAACAAAAATACTATGGAAAAATATTTACCATGCAAGTTTGAAGTCTAATTTTGTTTTGAATTAATTGATTCAAGGAAATCATTAATTACATGTAACTCTATGAGTAGAGGGCTGATGAAAAGAACTACCAGTATTCAGAAGCTATAATCTTATCTATGTCTTATATGAATGTTTGAATATAATGACATATACATTAATATTTGACAGTTTCAATAACAGAACTATAAAATGACCAATAGTAGTGATTTATAAGTTGATTTTACTTCATATAGCTAGATTGATTATATAAGAAAACTATAAGTAATGGGTAGTAGAGAAATAATTAATGTTACATAGTGAAGTCTATTTCTGTTATACTGTTAATCAACTAGTGATTATTTTATCCAGTTATTATAAATAAATATATATATAAAATGAGAATTATTTATTGTGTAAAAGTCAATTAGAAAGATAGGTCTAATTACGATTTAATTAGTTCCTAGAATCGTACATCCAACCCGTAGGCTCAGTATCATAAATTGAGGCCACATTCCTAGAAATAATAGTGTATTGTACTAAACAATACCNTATTTAATTTAAAATATATGTTCTCCATCTCAAATTAGTAGTGGATTGACCCTCTATATCATACTTCTCCTTTAACAATAGAGCCATGCCAGTCATCTATCTAACACCTTTTAGGGGAAAATTTTTGAATTGAAATAATGTGACTTTCGGTTTGTGTCGGAAGTTTGTATATAGTTAATTGGGGCCTCCTGCCCCTAAAGTTTCCATATCTGGTCTCGTCTTTCATCTATCTAATTCTTTTCTAGAGATTAAGGAAAGATGGATGGACGACAGTGGGAATTTCTAGTTCTACACTTTTTTCAAATTGTAGCCCAGTAAGTACAAGCTTCCATAACTACACTTCAAGTAATATAGTCATTGATCTAAACTTTGTCATCTATTATATAACTGAGATTCAGCAAATAAGTTTGTGTGTTCTGTACACCCCCTTGTTCTTTTTATATATTTTCTTAATAATCAGATATTTGTCAATTATTTTTTTATATTTATATATTATTTATTCAATTTCACAAATAATTTTAATTAAATCATTATCACATTTCTATTTTTTGTATTTTATTTTTCCAAAGTAAAAATAACTTTAGATTAAAAAAAATTCCAATTTCAAAGTATTAAAAATAATAAAAACCAAATTATCCAAATTATCAAAATACTAAAAAGTAACTGTTAGCTCAAATGACAATGATATCTGTAAAGAAAATAATTAAAATCTATATATAATACTCATTTTTTATTTTGACATATCTGAGATATAGAAAAGTCTGCTGCCAAGTCTGCAAACTTATGTTGTGAATATTTTTGATTTTTTACAAGTCGGTTTGTAAATTATTATAACTGATGTATTTCCAAGAATTGATTAAAATGTTTCGGACATACAAGAGTAATCCCAAAAGTAAGGCCTATTTGTTTAGAAATACAAAAAAATGTTTATTTTCAATAATGTTGACATCACTTTAAAGCTTGAACACTTATCTATTTTTCTACATAATCACCATTTCAATCAATGCATTTTTGTAGGTGCTGTGGTAGTTTTTGTATGTCCATATCATATCATCTCACCACCCATGTTGTTGAGGAAGCATTGAACCTCATTGTTGTAAAAGTGTGTTCCAGTCAAATGTTCTTTCAATTTAGGAAACAGCTGGTAGTCACTGGGTACCAAGTCTGGACTATAGGATAGATGGGTGATGATGTCTTATCCAAACTGTTGCAGGAGAGCAACAGTTTGATGAGCTATGTGGGAGCTAGTGTTGTTGTGGAGAATGCTTATGCCTTTGCTCAACATTCCTCTTCTCTGGTTCTGAATCATCTGAGTTTTTTCAGTGTCTCAATACCTGTCAGCATTTATGGTTCCAGAAGTCCCATGAAGTCAACCAACAATACCCCCCTTTTCAATCCCAAAACACAGTTGCCATGACTTTACTGGTAGACTCTGTTTGTTTGAATTTTTGCAGCTTGGGCAAAGAGGAATGCTGCCACTCACAGGATTGTTGTTTGGTCTCAGGTGTGAAGTGGAACACCCAGGTTTCATTACCTGTGACAATCAAATCCAAAAGTTGTCTTTTTCATCTGCATAGATGTGAAGAAATTTGCAGGAAGAGTCAACTTGTTGCTGTTGGTGGTCTTCTGTGAGCATTTGCAGGATCCATCTTGCGCACACCTTCTGATATTGCAACTTTTCCATTTTAAAATCCTATGAATGATGCTTTGGGAAACCTCAGGAACCAAAATGCAGAGATCATCCAGAGTGATTCACTGATCTTCATGGTTTGCTCAACCTTTGTGACTGTCTTGTTAGAAATTGATGGTCTTCCACTTCTTTCTTTGTTGTGAATTTCAGTACGACCAGCTGCAAACTTTCTACACCACTTGTGGATGTTTTTGGCATCCATGTACAGTACAACTCTCCATACACTTCTGTCAATTGGCAATGAATTTCAATTGGTCTAATGCCTTTTGCGTTCAAAAACTGAATAACTGTGTGAACTTTGCATTTGGCGGTAGTGCCAAGTGCTCCATTACAAACGGCTGCAAAACCAAGATTGAGTGTCCCAGCAAGGTGTGCTCAGGCTTGTTTGGGAATGAGGAACAACAAGCACAACAGTGTTGCCAACAGCCACACAGTTTTCCTGCATCCCCAGCACTTTGGAGACCTTACTTTGGGATTACACTCATATATGTTCTATTGAGATAATAGTGTAAATATTCCAAATTTAGCAATTGTTAAGTTAGAAAAAGCATATAAACATTGTTTTTCTAAAACAAAATAATTTATTCTATCTGATGATGATCAAGTACTTTTGCATCCATCATCATGATACAATATTTAGGTTTGACATATTTCAGCAGAAATAAACATATCCAACTGAGTCAATGTTTTAAAGGAATATATTTCTGTTACTGGATGGTATTTGTAGTAAGTTGAATATGAGCAATGT